TACTTTTCAAGCACACTTACATGCTGTCAAAGAGCCGCTCAACCTCCGAGCGCTGCGTGAGATATTTGTACAAATTGTAAAAGTCCTCGAATTGAAATTTGGACACCGATATGCTGTCGACCTTGCCCGACGGCAAACCGGTCACGTCCAGCGCCTTCTCGACACGTTTGCGATCCTCCTTGTTCTGGGCGAAAAGTTTTATGATGCTAAAGTGGTCACGACCAGAATTTGACCGATGGAGTAGGCAGCCCGGTTGGATGGCAGACAATGCGGCGTTGGTTGATGAGGTTGTTGTCGTCGTCGTAGTCATCATCATCGTGGTCGCCAGTGATGCATGAGCCACGTTCCGGGAACAGAAGCAGGAAAAAGGGAAATTGCAAAATAGAAATTGGCGTAAATTTCAATTTTCAGCTCAACGTCGATGGCTACACTTAGCAAATATTTGTCAAGTGCTCGAACGCACAATGCACAAGAGCCAGGGACCCGAACCGAACCCGAAAGTTGGCCGGGATCCAGGACCCAGGACATTGAGCGTTGATGGGAGTGTAGTGGGAATGGGGATAGGTATTGGTATTGGGTTTGGGTTTGGGGGCTGTTTTCAATTACTTTTTCACTGGTATGCGACCGCTCTTGTCCACCTGCAGACACAGTTTGGTGTGGGCCTTCTGCAGGAACATAATCGCCGACCCATTGAGCTGGGCCAAGCTGTAGGCCAACTTGATGAGTCCGTCCGACCAGAGCTGCGAAGGGAATGGGAGACCAGAAATGGATTAAAATAAGTGGCAAGTTGGGGAGTCGAGAAAGATGGAATAGAACCCGAGAAGTCTGCATTTGTGTAATATTTGCGTAGGTCTAGGCTTTTTCACAATTTTCTTAGTATTCTGTGCGAGGGATTTCAGTAAACTGAAAGGTGGATTAAAGTTAAAAAGAAGTTGAGAAACTTTTCGATTTACAACCCTATACTCTCTCAGGAGTTCAAATCTTAAATGGTCGAGGAAGAAAAAGAAATATTATTAAATAATCAAATTTAGCTAAGATTTAAACAACCGATTTACTTAACATAATAATCAGAAGTACAAATTGATTGCTACAATTTATATAATTTAATTATTTCTGACAGATTTTGACTGTGCTTTAAAATGACCTCGATTAACATTTACTTTAATTATTTTCTTCAAGGCCAAAAGGACTGAGAATATTATTAAGAATAACACAAGGCGAAAGGCAAACTTTTGATTAATCCATTTACCAGGAAACACCGAGAGCAATATTTGCCCAAAGTTAGCTTCCCTGAATTTAATTAACCCAAAGCGCTCTGTAACATACTGCCAGGGCGTGATTGGCTCATGTAAAAGGAATCTGTGAGATATTTTATCGGCGGCAACACGGGGCGGATGCGTGATGCAGGCCACAGATTGATTGTATAGTCAGTCAGACAGAAGAGCGTGCAAGCCCGTTGCCCATTTGGCGGCCATTTCAATTTCATTCCAGCCTTTCCTTTCCGAAACTATCGTCCATTCATGTATATTTACGGCCAATATTGTTTATTTTGTTTGCCGAAAATGCCTTGTGAAAAGTTTATGAAAATTTCGACATTTTCATAATTTGATTTTCCTTTGTTGCCGTTTCTGCGGTTCAAGTTGCGTTTGTTTATTTCGGGAATGTCCGCGACGCGTGCCAAAAATAATAACCACAACAGCACGGTCTCTGGCTCGGGCTGCTGACCATTGATAAAATAGAACATTGATTTCGGGCAAGGTCAACCCAGGACAGTGGCAGACATGAGGAATGGACGATAGACGGTGGACTCTGGACACTGGACACGCCCTTCGGACGAAAATCAATAAAAGCGCCGTTGAGTGGTCCATAATAATTTTTACGCGCCTTCGGCGACCCACTAAAAATAGTCAAAACGAGAACGCGAAAAAGCATAGGTGTGTCGTCGCGAGCAAAAAAAGGCAGAAAAAAATACACAAAAAAAAAGGAGATTGGCGAATGGAAATAAAGTTTGGGAAAACTACTGAAAAATTACAAAACACTCTATAAATGAAGTTTTTAAACTTTAGATTCCTTTTTTAAACAGGAAATACTTCAGAGACAATATTTTAGAAATGGTCTACACACAAAAATACTATTGGGTAATATGACCAATGAAATAGTTACTTTTACAACAATGAAATACACACAACTTACTATTTTATGGTAGTATTACTATTAAATAGTAACCAAAGCAACAACAAAATACACATCAGTATTTAAATAGTTGTTAACCTTTTTTGTAGTTAAGAACTATCCGCATTGGTAAATTTTACCCACAACTTCTTTGTTTGTAGATAGCGCTTTATTATTCATCACCTTCAATAGTTTCTTTTTATACGCAATCGATTATTTTTCCTGGTGCACAGTAGCTGACCATTGTGTCCATCATTAGCGTTCCCCTCTCGACACAATTCCCCGAATGACTTGGAACTCGGAACTGGGCGTGTGTATGTGACCCACAAAAGCTAAATGGCTTTTCCCTTCGATACTTTTCAGTTGTCATCGAGTTGTCACATGCTATGGGTACTACTTCAAACGGAGGAGAACTGGTGGACTTACCTGGGCTATGTCCCGCCGGGTGCAGCAGAAGTTCACGAACGTCATGTTGACAAAATCGGAGCCGTGGCACACCGTCACCGTCTTCTCCTCCAGCGTGTCCTGCGGGCCCAGCGTCACAATCTGGCGCAGCTTGTTGTCCTGCAATCGAGAGATGAGCATGGCGGTTATTAATTACCAAATGACCAAAGGGAAGGGGGATCGGGAGACCGAGAGACAGTGGTGGGCGGTTCGCGCGCGGAAAATGAAGTTTTATGGCCCGGCAGTCGTAAATGGAAGTCATATCCTTGCGCGCTAATCCTGCGAGTGCAGCAAAATTCATTTGCTCGCCTCGTAAACCAGACAAACAAACACGATTCCCGAGCTCAACTGACCGGGGTGCCATATTTCAATTAAACGGCACAAATGGATTTACGAGCCCGCGAGAACGTGCATCCTTGGCCAGGGGCGGACCCCCCAACCAAGTGAACCGAACTGAACTGAGCTGAACTAAAGGGAAAGAAAAACATTTCGACTTGCGAGCCAACTGGGTTAAATGCAAATCAGCCAGCGACACAAGCAGAATGAATAGAAAGAGTTGCATTTGCGGACTTTCCAGACAAATGAATACTTCTTGGAGGAACTTTGTTGTAGCTGGGAAGTTATAAATAAATTATTTTAAATGGAGGCACTTTCAACCGACTTTAAAGTACCTTTACTGTAATACATTGATCTGGAACTTAAAAGACGGGTATTTTAGTGCCTTTCTAGCAGTTTAACACTTACGCCCTCTTAGTACTGGGCTTAAAAACGTATTTATCCGTCTACCCAAAAGTCCATCTCATAGGACCGGGACTAAGACCAGGATTATCAACGTCCTTTCGAATGCATGACACATAGTTCGGACTCAGGACATTGGACGTTGGATGGAGGACAGTTGACTGCAATAAGGGAGGACAGACTTTGGGGCGTTGTACTTGAAGCGGAAGCCGAAGCATGAATTTGGCATTAACTTTGTGGCCGCCACGTCCTGGGCGAGGAGTGTGTGTTTGGCTGTCTCCCTGCAGCGCTTCCGGCGTTTGGGACATTTGACAAACTGCCCGGGTGCCCAGGGTGGACCTTATCGGCAGGCAGTTTACAACGGGATGACAGGGCGGAGACCGGCAATGTTATCTTTTGTGCTAGCACATCGAATGCACAAGCTGGGGAATAAAATTCTGGCCGATGACTACAATGCTCTTAAATGTCTGAGCCCTGATCTGACCTAAAAGCGTCTTACGGTCGAGACCAAAACCAATCATGGCCAATGCTAAGAACTAAAAAAAAATGGAAACATAAGTACTAGTTTGAATGATCAGCGAAAGGTATATGAATAATGTTATCTTCTTTAGACAACATTAATTTTTTTATGAATCTTACTCAGCTTATTAAGTAAGCATCTTAAGGGTTCACAATACTAAGTTCTGAATCGTTAATTCTGAATATAAAGTAATAAATCATATGTTGTGAAGGGGACTAAACATTTTTGCTTAGTGCACGCAAATCGATCCCTTAATAAGCTTTCCTGGTCAGCAATATCCAGGCTCATGGGTGGATGATGCGAGCAGCTGAGTCGACTAATTGAAAGGCTTCCCCCACAGCCCCCATTAAGGCGTCGTTTTGACGGTGATAAACGGGACTCACCTATGCTGGAAAAACAGGGCGGGGAATCCCCGCTTGGCTGCAGGCCACGTTTATCTGCCAGCGTCATGATTTGCTTTTAACTAAAAACTAATTCCGGCAAATTTGTCGCTCTGAATAATGTAAATGGCTTTCACGGCCGGAGCTTCTGTCGCTGGCTCTCCGGGTTTCTCTGCCACGGGACGTCTCTGTCCGGATTTTCGGAACGGCACCGTGCGAAGCGTAAAGCGGAAATGACTACGGCGATTATCTTAATTGCTTCTCACGCTTCGCGCTCGGCACTCACGCGCAGTTCTCCGCCCACTCACGGCCCCCAAAATCCTGCGACTCCTTTCTGGCCTGCTAATCCTTTTGGCTCTGCTCGAAATTTGAATATTAAGAACGCTCATTATGGACCATGGGGGCAGGGGGCGGGCCGCAGGATGCTCGTGATAATTTTAGACAGCCCTCAAAGCCCAGTTATTGATTTTTGAAGGTGTTAATCAAATACTACTCAACGCCGTATGACTCTTATTGAAAAACCAATGAAATAATTTATTTATTGTGCCCGTATACTAGAATTGAGAAGTTAAGGCTGGCGACATCCACAAGGGTAAGTTCTTAAATTACTGATATTAGGCTTCATCCCTAATAAACCTATTGAATTTTTACCTAAAGCAGCCCGAATCGTAAAAGGATTGAAGTTTTCGTCAAAAATTTATTAACAAACAAAAGATCAAAACAAAAATACACATTTGCTCGACGAGCTAAAAAAAATGTTATATAAAATTTAAAAGATTTTTTATATAAACATTCTATTGTGTCCAACGAATGAAAAGGAAACTGATACCGCAAAACTTTTGTCCACAAGCTCTATTCCGTAGGAAAAGGAATTAACTGCACGTCAAGGATCTCATGAACTATTTGTCATCTGTTTTCGACTAGACTTCGACAGTAGTGTTCAGATAGTCGTAAGAACCAGATAGGGAAAAACCCATTTTTAATTTTACAAAATTTTAAATTTGTATAAAGGATCCCAAAAAAAAGGATAAAAACCTAAATTACAGTCTCAGCCCATCTATCAAAAAAGGGGATAATTATGAGTAGCAGGCGATCGATTGGGTCTTACCGTGGTTCTAGGCGAGATTCCGTACACACGGATGCTCCGTGCAACCCATTTGACACCCGGAACTCTGAGGTGGTCCCCAGACCCTATGAATTGATGCGTCAACGGAACTGCAAGACTGAGAAATTCATTCCATTTGAGCGCTATCCCACCATTCGACCACCTGTGTCCAAGTGCAGTTACGATAACACCAAGAACTGGCTGTCGGAGTCGGTGGATCAGGGAGGATGTGTAGATATCAGTGCTAAAGCGCAGGACGCTCTTAAGATCTGGAAGAATAGCCCGCACAAGAGCACTCTGAAGTACTATGGCGTTGCAAGTGGGGCCTATCTACCGGAGGCTGTTAAATTTAACCGTACCTTGTCAAGCAGCCTAAAACACGCTAGTGGCTTAAGGAAACGAGTTCCTAGTCCACCGCTTGCACCTAAGCCCAAAAGACCGCCACAACCAGCTCCCCTGTGTCAACCATACATCCTCAACCGACAGGCCCTGAAAGCAGAGCTCCAAAGGATGCCCATTGCGCGGCAGAAACTGCATCCCAAAGAGGCTTTTGGAACGCTATTCTGTGAAAAGACCCAGGATCCTATGGATCCCCTTGGAGTGGAAGCGGCAACTACTAGAATGGTGAGTTTGAGAGAAGCCCTGGACATGGCCAGGCCGGAGAAGCCTCCAAATCACGGCCTGAGACGCAATCACTGGTACTGCCCCGCGAAATGTGGCGAACGGGAGAACAAGTGCACCGACTACGAGTGGGCCAAGTACAAGTTGGACTCCCGACCCTACGATGAGGCCTTCCACAAGTGGTTCCTCGACCAGAAAGCACCACCGGATAACGAGCCACACGACTATGATGAGCTCTATAGGCGATTCCAAGCCTGCTTCGAGGTGAAACCCCAACCAGATCCGGATTGCATGGCCATGGCGAAGTGCTGTGCAAATGTGTTCAAGGAACTATATGAGGAGGGAGGTGGTGGAGCAGGTGGCGGAGGAGCAGGTGGATGGGGAGGCGATGGAGAAACTGGAGAAGGTGGTGGCGGACCTAAGAAAGATGGTCAGAAAGGTCAGCCTGGTGGCCCAGGTCCTGAAGGTACAAATCGGCCAGAAAAAGACAAAGATAAAGGTGATGGCGACAAAGAAGATATAGAAAAGGATAAAACCAAGGGCAAGGGCAAAGGTACAGATAAAGATAAGGAAACTGAAAAGGATAAGGAAGGGGATAAAAAAGACAAGGACAAGAAAAAAGAAAAGATTCAGGACCCAGATAAAGGTAAAGACAAGGATCTGGACAAGGAAGGAAAGGATCAAAAGGAAAAGGGCAAAGGCAAGGATAAAAATAAGGGGACCAACCCGGATGAGGAACCGGAATCGGGCAAGAAAAAGGACGTGAAAGATCCAGGTCTGGAAAAACCGAAACCTCTTAAGCCACCGAAACCACCCAAGGACCAAATCGAAAGCAACACCGATACGTCCACTCGGAATTTTTCCTCTCTGGACACAAGGGATTCGGATAGAGTGCCGAGCAACCCAATTGAACCACCAACTGAGGAGCCTCCGCCAAAAGGGGAAATTGAGGAGAAGCCGCTGAAGCCCCCTAGTAAGCCCAGCAAGAAACCGCCCAGTAAGAAACCAGGCAAGCCCAAGCCTCCGAGGGTCGACAAGGGGGAAAAGGACAAAGAGGAGGAGGCCGTGAAGGATGAGTGTCCCACTTGTCCTCCAGCAGACTGCCCCTGCTCCATTTGCGACTGTCTCTACGCTCAAAAGCTGCCCGTTTCCCCGGCTATGAAAAAGGTGTTTGCCCAGGAGAAGACTCGCAAAATGAGGGAGTACCTCCGGCAAATGCGCCACCGGGAGTACATGGAGTGCGCTGGCCAAAAGCCGACGGCTCCCCAGCACAAGGTGGACCCCATCAGCTGCGACAACTGCTTCTGCCAGGATCCCAAGATATCCGAGTACTGTGAGTGCCTGGGCGCCCTGCAACATTTGCAGCGGCTCCTGGGCAAGAAGCGCCATCCGATCGTCAACAACGAGCTGCTCTTCAACCTCGACGATCTCCGCCAGAGGATCGCCCAGCGAATGTGCGAGTGCATCTGAGAAGTCTTATTCGACCGTTTTATTGGCTTGTATCCTTTGACACATATTAGTGTTTTTTCCAAATTTGACAATTGTTCAATAAAAGATTATTTTTAGCAAAGATGCCGATGTATTTTTTAGGGTCTTTGGAAGATTTACCTTAAGGATGTTGTTATGGTTACTAGAAGTCATGAGAAACATGGAACTAGCTAACATAAAAACTTGACATCAGCTCTTCAAACAGGTCTCCCCTAATATTAATTTATTATTCAGGTACATAAGGAGGCTTTGAAATCTCTTACATTGCCCTGCCGACAACTTGTGTAAGCCATTTTCAGTATTTTATCATGTGTTCAACAGACAACACCTAAATTTTAAAACATAGGCCTGTTTTATTTTGGTTCTCACATTAAACTCGTAGATAAAGCTTAAAAAAATTGGACCCGAATCGTAAAAAACACTTAGCTAAAACAATGATGGGCAGACAGGATGCGCAAAGCCGAGGATCCAGGAGATCCCTGGGAGGTCAAGGTTCACAGGGCCCACCCGTCTGCCAGGAGCCTGACCTGCTGAACACCTTTGTGGAGGAGCAACCCACCTTGTACCAGTGGATGCGATGGAGCAACTGCAAGACCCACAAGCCCCACCTGCAAGAAACGTACCCCACTATTCTGCCACCGATCTCCAAATGCAGCGACGCCAAGACCTTGAATTACATAGAAGACGCCATGTTGGCGAACAAATGCGACCGACTCAACGAACACAAGGAGGACGTGCTGACCGTGTGGAACTACAGTCCCCAGAAGGAGACCTTGGGGTGGTATGGCGTCGGATCGGAGCACCCCACTCCGCAGGCTGCCTTCTTCGACAGAGCCCTGCAGAAGAGTTTAAAGGCGGCCAGTCTTCTTCCCAAACCGCCGAAGAAGTCGAACATAAAACCCAAGTGGCAGATAAAGCCGAAAACCCCGGAACCCGGGGCCTACGTCCTGAATCGAAGGTGTCTGAAGGCCAAGTTGGACAAGATGCCGAACGTTAGGCGCCAACTGAAGCCTAGCAACGCCTTCTCCTGGCTTCACTGCCCGCAGGCAGCGGATGCGGAGCATCCGTTCGAAGATAACGCCGGATTCCCGGCGATCAGCAGGGAGCAAGCGATGGACATGGCCAAGCCGGAGAAGCCTCCGAAGCATGGTTTGAGACGCAAGCACTGGTACTGCCCCCCAAATGTGGCGAGGCTGAGAACAAGTGCACCGACTACGAGTGGGCCAAGTTCAAGCTGGACTCGAGGCCCTATGATGAGGCCTTCCAGCGGGAGATGGCTGCCCGCCATGCGGCCAGAGCAGCCGAGCCACGCAACTACGAGGAGCTGTACAAATCTCTGGTGACCTGTTTCGTTCAGGATCCGAATGGGAAGAATGATCTCTGCGAGGCGCTGGAGAAGTGCTGCAAGGATCCCAAGGATCCACCGGCCCAGGGATGCGGCGAGTTCGTTCCGGATGGCCCCGGAGGAGATGGTGAGTCGGGAGATGGTAAAGATAAGAACAAAGACAAGGACAAAAAAGAGAAGGAGGATAATGACAAAGACAAAGAGAACGAGAACGACAAAAAGAATAAGGGAGATGGTGACAAAGACGGTGATAGGGGTAAAGGGGATAAGGATGGTGATAAAGGGGATGGCGATAAGGGCGAGGGGGACAAGGGGGATGGCACCAATGACGGTAAGAAAGATGGTGGCAAAAATAAAAAGGATAATGAGAACGATAAGAAAGATAACAAAGAAAAGGAGACTGAAATTGATAAGAAAGGGGACAAAGAAAAAGACAAAGACAAGGACAAAGACAAGGACAAAGGTAAAGGCAAGGGCAAAAACAAGAAGACCGAGAACCCGGAACTCAGGTCATCCGAAGAAGATCGTCCTCTAGTTCCCCGAAGTACCGATACCATTCCCCCGAGCGAACACACGCCCATTGGTGATGGAGGTGGCTCTGATTATGTGGACAGCGATAAAGACAACGAAAAGGATAAAGACAAAAAGAAGGATAAGGACAAGGACAAGGGCAAGGGAAAAGGGAGAAAGAAAAAGCCAAAGAAGGATGAAGGGAACAAGGATGGGGATGGTGAGGCGAGCAAGGACTGTCCCTGCGAGATCTGTTGTCCCCCGAAGGAGGAGGATACTCCGCTGATCAAAGAGATGCGGCGGCGGGATCGGGAGCGCCAGGTGCGGGACTATCTCCGCCAGATGCGGCACCGCCAGTATATGGAGTGCAAGGATCCCGACTACCCGGCCCGTCAGCACAAGTGCGACCCCATCCAGTGCAACAGCCTGTTCTGCAGCAATCCCCGGCTGCAAACCCATTACGCCAGGGTTCAGGCCGTTCAGCAACTGCAGGGGGTCCTGCGGCGAAGGAATCGGCGCTACGATGGCAAAATATCCAGTGATCTGGACGAGCTTCTATCGCGGCTGTGCAACCGCCTGACCCACAGTGTTAACCCTTGCGGATGACCGTGTCCCCGCCTCGTGTTGTTGTGGTGACATTTCATGAGTCCAAGTCCGCATTTGTAACTTGTGCCTGGAGTTGTGTATTCGTGTTAACTATGTCTTGCGCTGCCTTGAAGCGATTTTAGTTGTGTCCTTTAAATAAACTAGGATCTCTAGCTGAGCCCTGGACTTGTACTCATTTAATTAAGCCTCACAGCGAGGGCGGGACTCGTGCTCTTGGATGTATGCTACGCTTTTCGTGGCTTTCACTTAGTCACACATTGGCCCCTTTGAGTGTGCGTGTGTTTTTGGGCGTGGTCAACGCCCACGAGCTCTGTGCATTTAATTAACGCATGATTCTGTGCCAAAGGGTTATTTTCGCTCCGAGAAAGGCCGCATTTTCTTTCATTAACTCGAATAACCGTAGTAATGAATGCGATTTAAAGCTTGCCTTCTTTTAAAACAAGATTCATATAATAGTCTGTTTCGCCACAATTGTTAATTTGCGTGATTTACGGGATTTACGTGAAGTGATTTTTGAGAAAATCATTTACATTTGAATAATCAATTATAATAAATTGAGAGCGGAATGGGCTAGTTTTCCTCATTTAAATGCAAATGTATTTTTCAAAACCTTAGTGTAACGTAATAGCCCATAATTCTTTTAAAGGAATCCTGTTGGAGCTTTATGTTTTTACTTACATTTTTTATTAAAATACAGTAATAATTTAATATCATAGTAATCCTTTCTGTTCCCTTCATCAGTTTTTTTCAATGTTAAGGCCTGCCCTTCTTTTTCGTAGAGTGTTGTCAACATTTCATTGTCCGAATTCCTTCTGTCCCGCCAAGACCGCTTTCATTTTCCAACTTTTCCGGCGCTGTTAGTTTGCCCTGGGCAAACTGAAAGGAAAACAAAACTCATTTGGCTTTGGCCTTGGGCCTGTCGCGCTCCACAGCAACAACTGCAACTATTATCGGCGTGGGCGGTGTGCGGTGGGCGTGGCCCCAGGCCAAGCAACATGATTTATACAGTGAACAAAATGCGGCACACCCCAAGAACCGAAAGGAAATGACGCCCAAGGATTTCCCCATCGGAATAATTGCCCTAATGGCTGGGACCCCGAAAAAAGCGGAGCAGCATTTATGGAACTTTAATTTGATAATGCGGCGCAGAAGGTTAAAGAAGGCTTAACATCGGTTTGGGTTTGCAATTTCAGCGAAAGTTTGAAACGAATTTTTTCTGATCCAAGGAGCTTACATAAAACGCTTTTCAAACGCACAAAAGCAGGATTCAAACCATGTTGCCTTGTCATTGCCAAGATAAATGAATTAACTTCGTGGGAACGAGGGGTTGTATTCGCCGAGATAGTCCCACACAATGAGGCCAGTCCTACCGACTACCATGAAAAGAAAATTGTGGAAAAACGGAAAAAGCGTGACACACATCGAGGTAAAACTCACTATGGAAAACTGTTGCAAAACACACACACAGTCACAGTGGGATACTGATTCCGATTCCGGGTCCAAGGATGGGGACACAACGCACGTGACTTGGCTGGGCAATCTAAGCGGGAAATTGGGTGGCTTACTTGCTCTCCTATTCTTGGAATGGGAAAGGTGTTCACATACCAGTCCCAGTAATTGGCTTTCAATTGGGCGCCAGTTGAATAAAAAACCCACAGAATACATTGCCCTGTTTTCTAGGATTTATTTCGCTAGTTTACGGCATAACTAATGATTTCTGCCCACTTTTCCCATACTCAAGTTCTATTATAAATTTCGCATATACATTTGTACAACAGATGTTGTATTTTCTCGAGTGTCGTTTGTATGCATTCTGCGGTGATGAAAAAGTTATTACATCCGCTGGCGGAACCTACAAAATAAAACACCTCACACGCCACCCACAGAACACACAAAAACCGGACGGAGACCTCCCACTTTTTTCCTTTCATTCAATGTGCGTGTTAAAACCAGACAAATATTTCTTCTTCCATTCAATTCAATTTCAGTGGGATGCTTGTGCTGTGGTAAATGCTGCTGCTCAAAAAGGAAAAAGGGAGGTTGGTCCTGCGATGCGGCGCCCAATATGATACCGACGGATGAATTCATCGAGACAACCGCCGAAGAATGCTGTGGCCTGCCACAGGCGAAATCTTGGACGGATCCGAGTAACAAACCCACAGTAGATGTAAACGAAGACGCGACAAAAGGGTAAATATCGAGTATACGCCATGGTGTGACAAATTATCAAGTATACGCACCTTTGGCCGCTTGGCATACTGTCCTGTGCGAACGTCGCGTATGGTGGCTATATCAAGAATGTCCAGCTCGTTGTTCTGATCAACCCAATATAGAAAGAATCCCTTGGCATCGACGCGCATCGTGACCGGTGTTCCAGTGCCCGAGTCCTGAAATCAAAGATGATAAACCAGATTGATGAGAACCAAAAGTAAAACAGGCTTTAAGGAACAGGAACTGTAATTAGCAACACATGTGGTAATCAAAATACATTTTCTCCCTGCGATTCGGGTCCAATAAATTGTGAGCACATGATATACACACAATCGCAATTCCAGAGTTTATTGAACTGAGCCCCCCTCCCCGGCTAATGAATTTATCTCGTCCAATTTCTCAGCCGAATTGGCCGCATGAGTGCATAAGCCGTCTGTCGTCCGTTATTTCTGCTTATTATTTAAGTCAAATTAAATGGGCATCTGCCGGCAGCCATAAATATTTAATACCACGGCCATCCATCCATTCATAAAGGCACAGGCAGTCCGCAACTGGCGATGCCAAACAGATGCGCATTCCGAGTAACCCCGGCCAAAATTAAAATATTTTTATTTCTTAAATATGCATGCAAATAAGTGGCAGCCAAATCTGACATCCAGCGAACAAGATGTCTCGCGAATTTGGCTTCTCTGAGAAGCGAGTCGAGTCGAGTTGAACAACGCGTTAAATGGGGCGGCCCAAATGGATGTTTCTGCCAGGAGGGAGGCGAAGGTGCTGGGTGGAGGGCAGTGGCTCCTCCATCTGAGCGTTAAAGTCAACGCAGACAACGTGCAACAAAAGCGCGATGAATGTGTGTGTGCAACTAAGTGGGGAAAACTGCGATGGTCACGCCAGCTTTACTCCGAGGAATGTGGCAACATAGTGATCCACTCTTGGGTGCAGGCATTAGGTACTTTTAGGGGGCGATATTATTAAAATATTCATTGCCCCTTGTGTAAGCAACAAGAACCATTACATAGGGCTTCACAGTACGGGGTATACATTACCAACATAGTTTGTGTTTCTTGAAACATATTTTATATAGACTGAAAACAGTTATGAACTAATTCATTTTGTGCTCTTATTAATTTTCTAAGTTATTATGCTCGGAATGGTTATATTAATAATAATATTACTCTTATCGGGCTTAATTTCAAGTCACTTTTAAGCACTACAAATAAAACTATACATAAACAAATAAGTTGATGTTTTTCCCAACAACTGGCGATTGTGTCACACAAGCATATTTATTTAAAAATTGGTAAATCAAAACAAAAACTTTTGTGTATGGAATTTCACTCTCCATTATATCTTTACTTTCTATTTAAATTTTTATTCATTCCTTATGTTAAAGAATTCCATAAACATTTACTTGATATTTTAGGCAGATTAATCTGTGATTACTTACTGTATTTTTTTATTTTAAACATAACTATAAAGAAATTATCCATTCACTTTTATTATTAATAAGTTCCGTCAGAAAGGTTTGAACGTAAAAGGTAGCTCAGTTCAATAGGGTTTATGAGCTCCCTTTACCAGTTTGCCTGCTTTTGAAAAACATAACTTTATATACAAACTCTCAGTTCGGGCGTTCTGAACCCGCAGCACCTATCTGTTTGCCCATAGAATTCCTCGAACCCCCAGTTAGTCTCACTCCAATTAGCGGGTGGAATTCCTTGACCCCGCCACTGGCCCGTTAAGATTAGGGAATGCTCGTTGTTATGGCCAAAATTGATGAGCTCTGAAATACTCGTTACGGGCATATTTAATTCGTGCAGCCACAAGTTCATTATCCTTCGGTATCGAATTTTGGGTTCGGGTTTAATGAACCCACTAGGTGCCAAAGTGGCCTGCCTGCGCTCACTTTCCCTTTTTCGCAGAAGGAGCTCCTTAATAATTGAAATTGAAAACATCAACTCGGATTCAGTAGCCCCAACCACTTGTGATATTCAATTAGGCGGATATTTTCTGGGGATTTTCAGTTGGTTGCTTAGGGAAATCGGGGCGAGGAAAAAGGGTCGACCATCGCTAATTGGAATCCACAATCCCCACTCGAGTTGTCTTGGTTGCTTTTCCTGTTTGTCTAATTACTGAAAACTAATTGAGTCGAGCTCGTCGTGGAGGGCGGTAAAAACTTCGTTAATTCAATTTCAATATGCGAAATTCAGTGGAAATCCAATAACTGCAGAAATTGTGTGCGAATTTCAGTTCCCACTTCGTGACTGCTCCTGAAAGCCTCAGTTGAAAGTGACTGCCACTTGACACGCTCCTCAAATATTAACAGCCACCGTTTGCATGCGTATCGGTAATTGTGTATCCGTATCTGTATCTGAATCGGCGTCTATATCTGCGTATATATATATGTGGCCACACATGTATTTGTAACCGTGTGTGCGTTTAGGATAAGAGCGATTACATGCATAATTCAATTGGTGTAACAGTTGGATCTGCTCCCTGCATGTCGGTCGGCTATAGAAAACGCTTAAGGGAGACCGCACAGCGAGAACGGAAAAGGGATAACTGCCAGCCAGCCAGATGTGCCTCAGATGAATGCACGGCGGAAAACGTCGATACCAACAATCCTCGATCTGGGAACGTATAACATAAAAGGTCTATAAAAATATTTTCTGTGTACTTTCCACTGTTATTGAATCATTTAAGTCCGATTTTTCAATGCCATTTTAACATTATTCAATGTCATGTTAGGTTTTACTATTAGAGGACTTCCTTTAGTTTAAATTTACTTTATCTTTCCATACAATTTGCTAACATTCCTTGGCAGATAACACGACGTTGCGAAATTTGCGCTTTCTCGTTCTCATGTAAAACTAAAAGTTTTAAAAGAATTTTTTTCAGGTTTTTCTTTTTTTTCAGTGCGGATTCCCATTTAGAGATACAGCTACATCTAGATGTATGGAACACATCTGTTGGTGACGATTGTCACACGCCATTCTCCATTCGCCTGTCAATCATGCTTAGGGAACTGGGTTCTGAAAGGGCTGACAGGCGTCCAAAAAGAAGGCAGGAGTGCCCCGGTCCATTAGGGAGCCCTGGGAGAAGGAGGATTGGATGAGGAGGGGGATAGGAATATGCAAATGCTGCCGGGACCACTCAGAAGCCGGCTCGGTCCCCTTGGAGAGGGTTGCCTCAGACCAAACTATCGAAATGGGTTTAAACAGATGCTGGCTGAACTACATGCAAATTATATCATAAAATATGTAGCTGCTTAGCTCCTGTTTACATACAGTTTCCTCCCCAGCCGTTCATTTGCCTTCCCCACGAGTTACCTGAGAAAGTTTTTCCGGCACTCGAGAACTTTGTTGCCACTGCTGTTGACGTTACCCCAAGCCATCTATCGAAGAGCCGTTCGAGGAAAAAGGGTCTGGAGCCGAACTCATCTTCTCGTCAGGGTCTGTCACCAAACGCGCTGTGGGAGGCTGCTCCGAGGATCAGAAATTAAGATTGATGATGAGGAAAGGGAAAATGGAAACCAGCTGGAGACCTTTGCCCATCTGTCAGACTCATCCCCCATTCATCTAACCTTTACTTAGTTTCTTAAATCGTTCCCTTTCGTTTAGTCATTTCAAATATTATTTTTCTCGTGCAGCAGAATCCTTTCAGCTTTAAAATCTATTTAACTTGAAATTGATTGCATTTATAGACAGGTCAAAAGCGCAGCGATTCATTTTACGACTCTGCAGTTGTGTTTGGGGGCTTTGGGGGGGATTTGGCAAACGTTGTTGAAATCAATTAAATTTGAATGACTCCTAAAAATTCCAAGAAACTTTCCACTCGAACGCAATCAGCTCCCATAATCCCTTTATTATGACATCCAAAATCACAATCTATAGTTAGATTAAGTGGGCAATCAAAAAATAATAGAATAGGCGCCCTTTTTGTATTAACAACAATTTTAAAAGCTACATGATTGCGGTTCGGTAACATTTGTCATTATTTATGGAGAGCCTCAACATATAACATTGCCTTAAGTCTTGAATCTCACAAGCACCTGACTGGAATGCCTGCTGCACTTACTCAGCACTTACACTGACTATCATATATCAGTGGCTGATCGGCAATCGTAGATAGTAAGCTCGATTTTGGGCAATCAGCCGTCAATTTATCAGGCAATAAAACGCGGTTTTCGATTGGCGTTAACAAGTTCCGTGATAAGATACGGTTACTCGCAGTATTTATTTGGCGTATTACGCAAAGATCTTCGCTTCGTCACTCTTCAGATGTCTCAGTTCAGCTGGTAGTAAGCGGCGATCACTTGATAGATCCATCCCACGTAGGACGGCACAGAGGTGTAGACCGTGGGCCGTTTGGCATAGCCACAGGGCATGTAGCTCCAGGATCCGAGGCCCACCAGTTCCGCGGGTCCAGTGATGGGCCAGTAGATCAGGGGAGTGCCTCCGTCTCCGTAGCAGGTCTTCACCTGGGAGCACACCTGCTGCGCGGTGAGGGGAGCGTCCGAAGGGAGCAGCTCCTTGCAGGCAGTGCTGTTCAGCAGGGGCGCGAAGGCGTACTGCAGCTCCTTGGAGTACTCATCGCCGTCGGCGTCGGTGAGTCCCCAGCCATAGGCTGCGGCCGTCTTGTTGCTGTAATCATCATCGATGTCGGGCAGGGCGATCTGCTGCACTCGAGCGGTGTACTCGAAACTCTCGGAGACATGGAGCAGAGCTATATTATCACTGCCGGCGTTGCCATTGAAAGAACGGTGCGAGGAGGCAAAGTCCACATAGCGCACTTGGGCGGCCGTCACGTTGGATCGGTTGATGATCCCGGCATAAACCGGGGTTCCCACGGCATCTCCATTGAATTTGATTAGCTCCGCCACACAGTGGGCAGCCGTTAGAAGCCATCGCTTACCGATAATGGAAGCTGCGCACACGTGGGTGTAGGTGGACCTGGTCAGGGACAAGGACGCCAGGTAGGGAACATTGTCCACCCCCTGCACATCGTAGCCGTCGATGATCAGCGGCTGGATCTCAGCGGACACCTGCTCCGCGCTCCTCAATGTCAGGTTCTGGATGTGCGGTATCTGGGCCGCTCCGGCCAGAGCCAAAAGGGGCAGTAGGAAAAGCGGCGAAAACATTACTGATACGGCCGAGAAATACGAAACGTCTTAACTGGCTGCCGAAAAGCGAGTGGGCTTTTATAGTCAAAGACAAAGCTTTGGTAATCAGGGAAAGAGAAAAAGTCCCTTATGAGAATTGCTCAGCCAAAGAACTAGTTCGATTAAATGATTATTTTGGTCTTATGCTAGTTTTTGGGCATCTTTAGTATATGCTAAGAATAAAACATTCTTTAGTTGTTGACTTAATTAAGATTTGTGAAAGACAAATAATAAAATAAAATAATTTTTGGAACGAGAAACTATACGAATTTATTTTAAATTATTATCTAAGTTTCAACGGAAGTCATTAGATTTAGAAGTTGGTAATGTAATATTGTAGTTCAGAATTCTCTAGATCTTAAAGTTGGTAATGTAGTAATGTTGTTCTGATTTAAAATCTATCATGTCAGCATCTATCGATGAGGATGATAGACAACCTATCTCTATATCCTTTGGTATCCTTTTAAACGCAGTCATTTTCCACAAACTGTTTTTATAATGCTTAATTTTAAATTTAATTCAAACTTATTCCCATGCCTCCGGATTCCATTAGCCGCGCCGGGTGCTGTGGCATATAAAACATGCAATTACCCTCTGGGGCGGGACGAGGGTGGAGTGCATCCTCGCATGCACATCCGTGCACATAATTGCTGGCCAAGTTGCCTCCATCCAAGTGGCATTAGGGCTGGGCCACATGCCACATGCCCCGTCGCGTGGATGTTGTCCTGAAAATGTTTACGCAAACGTGCGGTCACTTTAGGGGTCCGGAATCCACTTTTAATTGGCTTTGGCCGCCAGCTGGGAGCTGGGAGAGCCCGTCGCGAGGGTCAGCGGTATTTTTAGCATCCTTTGAGACTGGACCTTGGCGACCTTGCCGTGTCAACACCTCAGTTAACACATTACGCACGCCCACGTGGCTGGGGGTTTCAGTGGCTTTTCCTACTCAAGGGCAAGTTACTATAAACTACGCGAATTCATATCGGCCTGTTCTAATCAATTCAGACGAAATTAACTAATCGTCGACTACGATTCATAAATCTATCTGCTTATCTCCGGCGGTGGACGGGTATAAAAGGCGCGTTTGGCCCGGCTAGAAGTAGACATTCTCCGTAAACCTGCAGAATGAAGTTGATCACTGTGACTCTGATTGTTGCCCTGGTGGCCGCCGCCCAGGGAGGCAAGCTCTCCGACAAGCTGGCCAAGATCGTGCCCAGTTTCGCCACTGGCTTCGTGATCAACGGCACGGAGGCGGAGCCCCACTCCGCTCCCTACATCGTTTCTCTGGGAACCAACTACGCCAAGCACTCGCACATCTGCGGAGGCACCATCATCAGCAAGGATTGGGTCTTGACCGCTGCCCACTGCATTTCTAACCCCGTAGGCATGAGTGTCATTGCCGGACTCCACACCCGTTCCGTGGTTGATGAGCAGACCCAGCAGCGCCAGGTTGACTTTGGCCGCGTCCACGAGAAGTACACCGGCGGCGTGGGACCCTACGACATTGCCATTCTCCACGTGAGCGAGTCCTTCATCTTCAACGATGTGGTGCAGGCCGCAACCTTGCCCAGCCGCGAGCAGGTCCATGAGGGAGAAACCCACCTGTACGGATGGGGACAGCCCAAGTCTTACATCTTCACTGCCGCCAAGACCCTGCAGACCGTGACCACCGAGATTGTGAACTACGTCGATTGCAAGGCGGCGCTCCCGGAAGACGCTCCTCTGGCCGAGACCAACATTTGCTCCTCCTCCCAGCAGCAGAGCAAGTCCGCCTGCAACGGCGACTCCGGCGGCCCCCTGGTCGTTGAGTTCGAGGGCGCCTCCTCCGAGCTGATTGGCATTGTCTCCTGGGGCTACATCCCCTGCGGACTGGCCAACCTGCCCTCTGTCTTCACCAAGGTGGCCTCCTACGTCGACTGGGTCACCGACATCCAGAGCGCCTACTACAAGCTCTACTAAACCGAAGGGATAACTCTGTAGTCAGATCAAACCAAGGATCGGAATCACTTTGATCAGAGCAATGATCGATTGTTGAATAAATGCATCCAGCTAAACTTTTGTCTCTATGTTTCTTACAAATTAATTACTATAAGATGATTCTATTCATTGAATAGAAGATTGGTAGACGGTTGTCCTTGTTAGGTAAAGTACTAAAAATGGATCAGCATGATTTTCCAGTTTTGTTTGCCTATGCGAGATTTGCTGATCATTTTATTAGATCCCTTTAAAATTAGACATGATGACAAGCTTTTATTAAGGATCCTATATTGAACAGCATGAAATATCAAGTAATACTAAATAAGGAATTTAAAAGATTCAAAAATCATAAAGAAAGATAACTATTTTGTCAATTATATTTGCTAACTCACAAAAAACTTTGGACGTAAAGTAATCCAAATCGGTCACATGATACTTCCATACACAACTTCCCTACGATCGCTTGTGAAATAAGTGCTGGCAATGAAAGTCCAGTCTTTGTTTGTCTTTTCCACCAAGGTTGGATTTACAATTTATGGTGTCTGATAACCCTCAAATCGATCGGTAATCGGAACTGGATTAAGGACTGTCCCGACCACAGTTTGTCTCTTAATTTATGGCTTCTAATATAAGCTCTGCAAAGCGCTGACATTTAGAGGCGTGTGCCATTGATAAAATTTCCAGTCTCGAAAGTCATGCACTCGACCAATCAAAGACAACCAAAAGCTGAATCACCTTATCGATGAGATTAGAAAATTGCTGTCTAGAGTTGATAAAATAGATTGGAAAAGCTCTAAAAAGCTCTACTCTTTAGTGTCAACATGTTGCTAAATTAATGTTTGAACACAATTTAGTAAACCATTATGATACTCCTGAAAATACTCCACTTAAGTAATAACATTAGAACATCATTTTTGGTAATATCCCTACTATCATCGAAGTATTTTTAGAGTGTACCATACATATTTTAACCATTTCTCGTATATATATAATCTAGATAATGGTTTAAGTGTAATATTATGTGACCTTCATAATTTTAAACATTTTATATGTTAGAAAGTAAGGTAATTGAATTACACTAAAGCATCAAAGATAATAGTTGATAAGTTTTCCATTACGATTTTGATTGTTTTATTTGCGTTCTGAATAACTTATCAGGGATACAAATCTTAATGGAGTTCTGGTTCATTCACACCTTGCCAACCTAATCAGTTTAGATTTCATGAGACACAATAACTGTCTATTTGAGATTTACAAATGTTTTATGACCACCGCATAGTGCGAACTCGAGATAAGTGCTCTTAGGCAAAGTGGCCTATAAATGGAGTGTGGCACTACACTAGATCGGGGCCAAGAACCAGACAAGTCGACTGCAGGGAAGCCTTTTCGCGAACCTCAAGTGCTTGCAGGCGCTGAGAGATTAGCGGGTTAATCAGTCAAAGGTGCCACTACAGGACAAAGCGAAATAATATCGGGGCCAAGAATACGCCGGTTAGGATCATAAATCGCTCTGTGGTGATAACGATAACCGATCTGGGAGTGCTTGGGCTCACATTTGAGATTGGTGGGACCTATAAAAGGCGCTGACCGACCTGGCAGTAGCACAAACTCAACAGAGAACTCAAAATGAGACAATTCGTGGTTCTATTCGCACTGGCTCTGGCCTCAGCCTCGGCCAACTTGATCCCCCAGCCGGGATTCCCTGAGGGGCGCATCATCAACGGCTATGAGGCGCAAAAAGGAGAGGCGCCCTACATAGTCTCCTTGCAGACGACGTCCAAATCGCACTTCTGTGCCGGATCTCTGATCAGCAGTAGGACCTGCTTGACTGCCGGCCATTGTCTTCTGAGCTACACTGATGGTCTAATAGTTGCCGGAGCCCACAGTCGCCTCAGCCATGATAACGTACAGAGCAGAAAGTTCGACAGGTCCCAGTTCGTGGTCCACGAGGAGTACAGTGGTGGCGTGGGACCCAATGACATCGGTCTGATTCGGCTAAGCAAGGAAGACGCCTTCGACCTGAACGCCGTGGCCCGGGATGGCACCAATCCGGTGGGCGTGGTGAGTCTCCCACCCTACACATTCGAGGGCACTGGCGATGGATACCTCTACGGTTGGGGTCGCGACAACTCGGGATCGCTGCCCACGAATCTTCAGACTCTGAAAGTCGACATCATTGGGGAAAAGGCCTGCAATGCCGCAATGCCCGTCACTGCCCAGGTGGCGACTTGCAATGTGTGCACCTACACCGCCGGAACAACCGACGGAGCTTGCAACGGAGACAGCGGCGGCCCTGTGGTCAAGAAGACCGAAAACGGAGCCTATCTGGTTGGCCTCGTATCCTGGGGAATGACACCCTGTGCATCCACCTTCTACCCTTCAGTGCACACAAACATAATGTACTATGAGCGTTGGATCGAAGAGAACCGTAACGACAATGAGTAGGTAGCTACTGTACAACAACTGTGCATTATATTGTATAATAACTGTATATACCCACCCAATAAACGAACATTCTGTACTCACACTATCTATGTTGTGTTTTTAAAAGCAGAAACCACTTCTGTACTAACTCAACTCATCAAATTAAATGACTTTCGGATTCGATAACCCAGCTATCTAGACAGTCACAGTTAAATTAATGACCACATAAGTTTTCTATTGAAATTGTCTTTCAATTATGTTTTAATCAATAGTAATCGCAGATAAGATCAGTAGAGATAAATATAGTACTACTCACATCGTCCCATCGAATGAACTTCTCGCCATCCTGCAGAGCTTGAGGAACCTCCACGCTGGCGGTGGAGATGTACGTTCCTCCGGCGCTCATCATCCTGACTGACTTTTTGGATTCGAAATCTCGTTTAGGGTCTGTGTTACTTTCTGGCTGCTTTTTTGGATTCGCTGCGGCTTACAGTTTCCGCTTAGCCGCTGCTCGGCATTTCCGTTGCTGTAGTTGTCGCAGAGTTCGCCTGGCTGCATACAAATGACGCCATGGTCCTGGTCCGTGTCCGAGTCCTGGACGTGGTCCGGGCCACAATTAGAGCGCCGTTGTTTTTGCCCCGCCTCCGACCATTTTTGGCTGCATCCTGAACTCTTGATTAAAATTGCGGACTTGTGTAGCTCGCGGTTTGCTGAAATTGCAAGGGGAAAAGGTGGTATTTGGTCAGTTTGAAAATCAGTAAGCTTTTAACTAATTTTGGTAAACTGGAAAAGAATTGGAATTTAGTTCGAAATTTATATCACTTTTCAACTATTTACGTCAGACGAGTCCAATTAAAGTTCAATGCTAAGTGCTTCCCAAAAATGATCACTAACTAATGATTAAATATCCGGAATTTAAGTCGTAATACAGATAACCCTTTAACTGTTTAAGTCAGAGAGGACCAAAACTAATGCCAAATGCTTGCCAAAAATATTCACTAATTTGGAAACCTCAATTTCGCCTGTATTTCTATTTTTACTTCTCAATAAGTCGTGACACACTGCAGATTTACATAGATACAGCTTGATTAACGTTTCGCCAAAAGTCTGGCGCTTTTGTTTCGCTGTCGTTTGCGGGTCAACCCGATTACACGGGTCCTCGAAGGGTCAGGAGTCGAGGTCTGGGTTCGGATAGGAGCCTCACGATGGGCTTGGCTTCCATTCAGCAACGGAGCTCCATTCACTCGGGCCCATTTCATTCAGGTCTCTCCGGCTTTGTTTGCCTATTTTTGGGCTGCTGTCGCCGGCCATTGTGCTGCAGAACCCCCTTGTAGTTTCCTTCCCCTTCTCCTTTTGTTCGGCTTCTGGTTTTTGTATTCGACTGCACTTCATTTATGCAGGAAAACCGTTTTTCGGTTCGCTAATTTGGCGCACAAACATTTTTTCAATTTTCAATTAGCCGGCGGAGAACTCTTGACCTGAGCATTATCGAGTAGCTTTAAATAGACATCCGGTGGTGCTGTGTTCGCAGCTCAACTCGACCGAACTGAACTGAACTGAGTGGTTCCTTGATTTTGGCATAATCCACTTAGGCAGACTGAGATGACAGCTTATCCAGAAGTGGATGCACAGAGGGAAATACGCACGTGACTACCGGGTTAATACTTTCGTAATTTCTTTTGGCCTTGTCATAACCAATTTCAGTCAAGACCGTCGGCCAAATCCGAAACTAAAACTGAAGCAGAATCAGAAACAGTAACCGAAATAGAAATAGAAATGGAAACAGCAACAGAAGCACCCAATGAAAATGTGAGCAAAACTTTTAGCCACAGTCCAAAGGCAACCACAGCCATTGAGTTACCTAAAGCAACACACATATGTGTACGCTGAAAAAAAAAGCGGGTAAACTACCAAAGAAACAGAAACTGAAAATACTTTTCCGGTTTTTTGTCGTAATTTGTCCAAAAAGAAAACCAGCTAAAAGAAAGACTGTTTTGACCAAAATTTACAAAAATACTAAATTTTTTTTAAAAAGATCGACAAAAAATAATGTTTTTAGAATTTAATGCCAATCGATTGGGAATTTTATTCATGGTCCATGGTCCATATTTGGACCATATGTCGATTTGTTTCCGACAAAATACTGACTTTTTTGGTACAAATTAATGATTTCGAAATTATTACTTGTTTAATCCCTTTTTTTTTCTTTAATTGACAAAAATTTAAAGTTTTAAATTATAACGTAAGGTCCTCTGGGAAACAAACTTTTTACCGTGTCTTGGTCCTAACTTTTGTGTCCATGCGTACATGTAAATTTGTCGAAAGTTTTTCGCGCATAAAGGAAGTCATTTGTTTGTGTTCGTTGCCTTCGCAAATAGAATTGAATTTGTGAATTTATATTGCCGTTTTCCCAGCCATTTTCTGTTTGAAATTGAGTTTGTACATCATAAATTTGCAGGCTGCCAAAGGGGAAGTAATTAAGCATTTTCATTCTGTTTGTGTTCCGACTATTTTCGAGAGTGTTTGTTGTGTGTGGGGGGCAAATGGATTTCGAGTCGATATCGAAAATGTTATCGTAAGTGGAATGAAAAATGCGGGAGATGCCTGCTCGATTTTCCTCATTTCCCTGCTCTGCTCGCTTCATAGCTTTTCT